AAGATGAAGAGGCTTTTCAACAATAAATTTTTGGTTTGCCGAATCTCAGATGCGAAAGTTTTGCTCATTGATGTAGCCATGGAGGTGGAAATTAGTTTTATCGGTAGAGTTGTTTCTTCGGGGAAATTCTGTATCATTTTACTACATTTCAAAGATCCAAGTCTTTTTGCAAGTGATGTTGTAATGACGTTTGTGAGTTGCCTAATTACAAAGAACAACGAAAAATGTATAAAGCAACATTTGTTTTCTTCACCCCTTTGGGCTGCAGCAACAATATTCTCAGTTCTTCAGCGACCTGCACGTATTTTATTATTCACACCACTAACTAATACCAACAGCCACATTTTTTCCAACAATTTCTGTATTGGTTTTCGAGGTTTATCGCGGAATTGACAGTCCTTGGTCGGATAAAAATTCGGGTCGTTCCGGTATAAAGACCCGACTGTCGCGGGAACTATTGGATTTTAGTCGCCTCTTATGACAGGCATGCCTCAATATGCTTCTGTATTACGGTGCGACACGGTGCTTCAGGACGACGGAAAAATGCTTTAGTTTGACGAACCGTCTCTGCTAGGTTTTCACCATTTTTATAGAGAATTTTAATGATTTCAATACAATGTTGCAGTATCGTTTCATTTTTATTACTGGTGTAGTTATTACTTGTCAAATGTGAAAAAAGTACAGCTTTAAAAGTGACTTCTACCGGAATAGCAGGCTTTTCAAAATAACAATTCTTATTGGAAAACTTTACTAGTATGTAACAGTCTTGCAAACATACTAGTCCTCCTTCTCCCTGCAGGATATTATCATATGTACATATACATATATGTATGTACAAGTAAGCACTCTGCGTGTGTTTAAGCACTCTTTAAGTTTATTCATTAGATCAGTTAGCTATCGTTTTCTCTTTTGTGTATTTGCAAGCAAATCAATAATCCGCAGATGTAATCTTCGCATTGGCCGGGCGTGTTTAGGTTTTTGTATCCAATACACATGTACACAAGTACGTTTATGTACGTGTGCAAAAGTGTATGTAAGATGACAAACTTTTAAAAAATTGTGTCTTCTGCTTGTAGTCTCATGCCATTAAAAGTCTGTGAATAAAATTTGTGTTCCTATACGGATGACTATTTTTCAATATTAAATTACTATGGCGACGGAATTCTCCTTCCGGTCTAGGCTAGTTGAGGAGCCTCCGTTTATGCTTGACGTATTTTATTCAATATTCAAAGTTCTGACATATTTTCTCATTCTTATGCGTAAATGCTCCTATACATATATAAATACTATATTTGTAGCTTTGCATAAATCCGCGAGGTTGGAATTTTAATGCTAAGTTATGCGACATATGTATGTACACCGACTTGTGCTGATTCTATAGAAAACTACAGAAGTGGAATATTATTGTTTAGAAACTGAAAAGACAAAGTTGCCGCTTTATCGACTAATTTTTTTCAGTTTTCTCTCCTCACAATTTTCAAAATAATCTGTAATAACAAGAGTGGAGCCAAATTCTTCTAATAATAGAGTTTGTAAACAGCACCAAAACGTCTGAGGGACACTAGCCAAGGTACTTGAAAAACTACTGTACCCACCACCAATCTGCATCGCAGTGAAGAGCCTGTAGCTAAAAAGAGATTAAAGGTCTTGACTAAATTCTCCGCTAGAAACTCGATGTACAGGTGCGTGGAGGAAATATTGTAAGAAGCAGGGAAGCATACAGAGTGCCGGTGAGTAAACGGCTGCATATATACTAAGTTCCAAGCCACAAGCGCATTATGGGCAAGCCGATTAGATTATCAAAAGTTTCATCCGTCTTACTAACAAACCAGAATAGTCAACAAAAACTATCTATAATGAAATATCCTTCGGAGGTGAGTGCCAGGTAAGGTGAGAAGGAACGCATTAGTTAGTTAGTTTAGAAGGTTGTTTGATCACGGAACCCTGATCCAGCGTACTTAGGCCTATTGGCCGTTGTGATAGTTAAGTAGTTTAATTTAGAACCATCGGTGAAGATGACTACAAATCTATGACCCAGAACTACGGAATTTCCCCACTCGTTTCTGTCTGCGGGAGGACAGGAGATTAATCATAATTTCATAGGCTTTCGTAGAAGTTGAGTGCAATGCACCAGTGATGAGTTTGAAGAACGACCGCTAGATTTTTTCAAACTTGCTCCTATAGATATTCTAGTTCTGGCCGACAGACAGTGACCCCATAGAATAATAAGGATCTTATTACCGCTTTGTAAAGCTAAAAGTACACAATATGTGGTCTCAGCTCCCATTTCTTACCAAATGCCGCCTAAACCTTTTTACCGCTTTCTGGTTCAAGGTGAGTTTGCTGTCTGAGATTCAGCCTAGGTATTTAAACTCAGTAGAAAGAACGTTACCGACGGCTTTGAGCAAAAATGTTTAAAAGGAACTACCAAGATCATGTGCAATAGAGCAAAGGGTACACTAATTTCTTGCTTATACGTTCCGGTAAAGAAGGCAGTACAGTTCGCGGCCTAATTATGGGCCACATCATACTGACATGCCATGCAAGCGAATTGAACATTAGTAGCGATGGCACATATGGGAAGTGAAGGAGGAAGACATGATGGAGACGTTAGAACACCTCATCTGTTTCTGTTCGACGGGTAGAGCTCGACCTAAATATCTCACAGCTTCGCAACTTCAGTGATAATAGAAAATTTCAAAATTGAATACTAAAGCTCTCTTCAATGTTGACGCCCTACAAGATAATTACTTTAGATCGCAATACGAAGTTCATACATCTGACATTTTATATATTTATTATCCTCATGCTTATTGCATAGACTTTTCCACTCACTTGCCCATAGACTCCTTTTCACTAAAGAATTAAACATGTCCTTACGTTTTTATTATTATTTTTTTGGAAATTATTTGATTCATTTGATGACGTCGGCTGTTTTTTGCAAGAGAGAAATCAACACAATTCTATGAGAATAGATCCCTGTGCCGACAAATGCGGACATACGTGCATACGAATATATTCTACGATTTATAGACCACAGTGTTTAAGGGCTGGAGTATATGCAAGCGTCAACAAATATCTCAAATGGAGACAACATGAGTGCCGTCAGCTGTTGTTCGTTCGATGTCACAAACAGTGGCAGCTAATTTAAATGTTGATACTATAAATCCGATACTATGTACTCCAACAAAACAATAATAATAGAAATGTGGGGTACTCAAACAGTATTGAGTTCTTAAAGCACTCGTACACACGAGAGGAGGTGCAGAAGTTCGTGAAATGAACTAAAAACAGTTTTACTTTTCCTTTGTTATAAATATAAATAGAACAACGATTTTTTAAGCAGTGACGTTAGAAAATTAATTTATAAATATATATATGTATTTTCAATTGCTCGGCAGGAAATGCCAAGCCCTCCGAGTATTTTTTTGACATGAAATAAAAAGGTCCTCATAAAAATCCATCAGCTGTCCCGCAAATAAGTTCATTTGGTGAAAAAACATCAAAACACACCACCATCAATCAGTGTAAGAGTTCAGCTTGTAATAAACTATTGTCAACTATTTAATTCTTGAAAATTTTAAAGGATCGATTACTTACATTTTCTAAAACATCAATCAAAAATTTTTTGCCTTTTCCCAACTAAAATTGATTGTGGACCACCTCCACTCAGGTCCGCTTGCAAATCTTAAACTTCTTCTATGCTGTTCTCGGCTTTCAGACTTAATTTCTTAATTACTCGACTACTTTTACTATGCATCCTGGCGCTATTGCCCTTGTCGCATGATCTTCACTACTTAGTAAAGTTTTAAGCATGTAAGATTCAACTATGTAAGTCCAGATCAGTACTGCGTTCACTCAAAGGCTACTAGTTCGTCAATTGAACCTTCGGTCACAGTGCTTCGATGTCTATTACATATGCTTCGATTTCGTTCGTTTCGTTTCTCTCGTTTGATGGTAGCATGCTATCAAGTGTCAAAGGATAAAGAATACCCTCTTAACTGCATCCGGAGACTTTCATATAAAATAAACTACCTCGGCCCTCTTGAAAGTAATCGTGCGCTATTCCAGTGCTCTCTTCTTCATCTAGTAACCGGTCGTCGTTGCTCACCACTAGCTAATAACCTAAATTTTGCTATTTCGCATAGACTTTTTCTCGCTGTTACATACACCTCTCAGTTATATCTTCAACATCAATATCCAATGCACAAGTCTGATCTCGTATCTACTGAAGCAGATAACACTCCGTTTGATATATTAAACGAGATGCCGTGAAATACGAGTTATCACTTCCATAAAGAGCACTTGGGCTATTTGAAACGTCTTTGAAAATCTAAGGGGTCATCCGAGTTAATTGCTTTGACTATTTCCATAATCACGTAAAGGTACTCTCGAGAACTTTCCCGAGTGTACTGTCATTCGGAAGGCCCAAGTTTAAATCCTAGTAAGACTAACATCCAAAAGTTATAGAAAATTAATTTAAATAAAAAGATATGTAAATTTTCTAATTACGTGCGCCCTTCAGCGGGGAATATCCACCCCTCCGAGTGTATTTCGGAAAAACCATCAGCCGTTCGGAGACCTCTAGGTCTCTCCATTTGTTGGAAAAATATCATATTGTAGGAGGAGCTCGGCGGGAGATCGCTTCAGCGGATACAAAGCGCCCATAATTTTTTAATTGCCTCCCGACTATGGACGTATATGTTGACTTATAGCGAAGGTCTCAACCTGGAAAATACTGAGCTACTCTGGACGCTTCAAGGGTTGTCTGAGGTCTAGCTCCGGCGCCCATCAGCCATTTTTGTTCCATTCGTGAATACGTTTTCGTTCCACTGGCGGGTCGCTACATTCAGCTGAATTTTACTGCCTTGATATTTGTACATAAATAAATTAAATGCCTTAAAAATCTATCCAATTCACCACCACTTAATATTTAAGCAAATTCTATTTCACCATGCTTTTAACTAACTTAATTCTACTTTCACTTTTGTGTTTTCCAGTTCGGAGGAAGAACGCAATATGGACGACAAATTGGTGTGCGAGGATGTGCATTTGCGTACATTAAGCCAATCACCGTTGGCGTTGCAACGCCAACAACAACGCAGACAGAGTAACCAGAGTACGCGAAGTACAACAAAATCCCTAACACCGATCCAGCGACGACGCTGTTCAGGCGGAAATGCTGTAACTATTAGTAATGAATTTGAGCTTACACGACCTCCGCTGGCTCAACACGAGATACTCGACAATGAAGGAGGTGACGACGACGACGGCGACGACAATGATGACGGCAAGGGCGAAAGTGTACCGAAATGTCAGCGAGTCAGTATGAAGAATACCGCAAATATGTCGCTGACCCTCGATTTAACCGATAACGGTGACAGCGGTGTGGGTGGTGATGATGATATCGACTATTGCGGACTTAGCAATCCTGCCGCACAAACCGACGAGGACAACGATACAGCTGTGCATGGAGATGCGCACAATGAGGATATAATTGACTGTAGCATATTGCGGGTGAAGGTGGGTGCTTATTATTGTTTAGCGCAGAAACAAATGACAAATGAGTTATGTATTACATACAACGTTACTCACGGATTCTCATTTTTCTTCGTATAGCAATTACCGGATATGTCGAAAATACCACGTCTGCCCGGTGATGGTGCGCAAATGGAAGACCAACGCACAGCCAATTCATATCCCTCCGCTGCACCGACCTCCTCGAGTTTGAAGCGACCCTCCACGGTGTCGGGGCGTGGTACTGGTGGTAGCGTGGTTGGTGTTAAAAATACCCCCCTACGAGTACAATCGGTGCGCATTGTAGAGCAGAGATTGAAGCTGGCGCCGAAGAGACGTACCGAAAGCTGCAGCATATTTGGCAATATGAGCAATTATGGTAAGTTATGAGCTGAGATTTACTAACCACATAATCTGTGTGGCGCTCTGTTTACAAATGTATGTCTGTAACTTCAATTGAATTGCTTGTGTGTGCTTAATTGAAATTCTTTAATTTCCGGTCAACATCGGTCAATGTCGATAAATTCCGCTTCATATTGCCACATGAAATTCACCAAAACTTAATTACAATGTTGCCGACAGACTGTGAAGCGGATGATGGTAAAACGATATCGCCAGAACCACGTCCTCTCAACAATCAGACCTACGCAGCGTTCAAGAGTGCCAACGTTGTCAAGGGCATATTATGCCCGTCTTTGACGAATTCATTTAAGCAACATTCGCTCGAACGTTCCTACTTAACCTATACGCATCGTCAACGTCAAAAGTCTTTGATCATCGTGAATTTGGTTGACTTCATGCTGAAAGTAACGCTTGCAATCATTTGGTTTTCAAGACAACAAAATCGTAATGCCAAAGGGGTGAGTATTTATGTAAATGTATGAGCAGTTAAAATGAATATGTTGTTTTAAAGAGATGAGTCCTATAAATGGTTTAGGTTAGACTGCCAGAGATTTCAGCGACCAACTAAGAATGGCAGAAACGAGAGCTCATAGGAGAGCTGTAAACCCTGATAGTGCAAAAGAATGCCCCTGAGCTAAGAGCAATACGCATTCATTACTGAAAAAGCCTGTTTAATTTTAGGGAGCAACAATATAAGGCGACCAATGTCTCCTTTCTTTATAAAGGGTTATCCAATGAAATGCGATCCGAAATTTCATCGAAAATTCCATTTCCACCTCGATGGTTAAATCAATAAGCAAAACATTCGCATCTGGGGTTTGGTAAATCCATGATTTATTATTGAAAAGCCTCTCCATCCCCAACCAGTAACTGTTTGGTGCGGTTTATTTACCGGCGGAGTTACTTTTATTTCATTACTTTTTAGAAAATAAGACTGGAATTGGATGGTATTGATCCGGGCAACGTTTACTTTCAACAAGACACACAAGCACTGCGTTCCACACAAGACACAAGACCATCGATCTTTTAAGGTTAAATTTTCCGGTCTGTTTTATCTCTAGAAGAGATGATCGTAATTGTTCACCGAGATCATATGATTTATTTTATTGTGACTTCTTCTATTAAAGATACATGAAAGATACGACAACAGGCCAACGTCGTTTCAAGACTTCATAGATTAAGTTAAATTTTCTAATTGCGGTCGACCCTCGGTAGGGAATATCAACTCCTCCGAGGGTATTTCTTACATGAAATAAAAAAGGCTTCCCATAAAAAACCATCAGCTGTTCAGAGGCGGCTTAGTATAAACTGTAGGTCCCTACATTTGTTGAAAAAGGCATACAGATGCAAAACCACAAAGTTTCTAATAGTTCCAGCTTCGCCATTCCCGCTGCAGATTCTTTATACTTTTCCATGTTTTCCCAGAAGGCTCCCTCTGCAACTCTCTATGCTTTCCCAATCTTGGTCCAACAAAATTCTAAATAGTTCAGTTAGGTATAAAGGAACTAATATGAAATCATAGAAATGGTCTCCTCGGGATAGGCATGGTCGTTGTAGAACATCTCCTGTCTGCATTTCTTCAACGGGAGCTTACAAACAGTGCGTTTTCGAATCACATCCAGGGCATAATTATATGATTTTAGAGCAGACCTTTCTAAACTGAAAGGAGCTTCAAATCTTCTTACTTTAATTGTATTTATGCTTTCCCAATCTAACTGAACTATTTAGAATTTTGTTGGACCAAGATTGGGAAAGCATAAATACAATTAAAGTAAGAAGATTTGAAGCTCCTTTCAGTTTAGAAAGGTCTGCTCTAAAATCATATAATTATGCCCTGGATGTGATTCGAAAACGCACTGTTTGAAAGCTCCCGTTGAAGAAATGCAGACAGGAGATGTTCTACAACGACCATGCCTATCCCGAGGAGACCATTTCTATGATTTCATATTAGTTCCTTTATACCACATTCTTGAAAGAGGCACTAATAATAGAGAAGCAAGACTAAAAGAATGTTTTTTTTTGTTAACAGATGTTGCAAGTATATCTCTAAATTCTAAAGAAATCGAATAGAAATCTTCTCGAGTATATCTCAGCGCATTATCCACTAAATATCTTGTGCTCTAAACTTCTCTAATGCGTTGTAACGGTAAATGAATATTAAAATAGCGTACAGGAAATAAGTGCTTACAAATTGACTGAATTAGAAATTGTTGTTCTAGCAATTTAAGTACCGTTACAAACATACACATCAAAACACAAGCTTAATAACGTCATCCCTGCTAAGCTTAGCCAGAGCAACAATATGTCAAACATGTCTAAGCCAAAAAAAAAATAATACTTTTCATATGTGTCTATTTTCATCCAGCTCAACAACAACAGCACAATTATCTATTACGGTGATGGTGAAGTGAAATTGGCAACTGCAATTACTTGGTCTGTTTGTTGTATTGTTGCCAATGTGGGTATTTGTTGTTTGGGTTTTTGGAGATGTTTTGCCAACAACTATTTGCATTGGGCTGCCGTCTGTACGTGGGTCCTGATGAATATACAAGGTGAGTAATTATTTTGATGAAGTAATATGAGTAGTTCAGGAATAACTGTGCATAGATGTGTGTATGTATGTAAACAAAACATGTACATGCCTTAGAATCACATCACCAAAAACACAACAAGATAAGGCGTGCGCACTGCTAGTAAAACCAATGCATTCGAAGTGATTAACTTTAAGTGAATATGACAATTTTCATTTAATTTTCATCTACATTAAATTTCTTGAGTAAAAAATAAATAAATAAAACCTAGATTGAATAAAATGCCAATAATAAATTGGGTCGGGAAATATCCTTTTTAATGAGAAGTGAATTTGTTCGGCGGAATCACGTCTTGTACTTAAAGAATATTCAAAGATAACTCTAAACACATTTTGTCAACTTGGAAATCTAAAACATAAACGTGTTCCGCCCAATCTATAAATGAGGAGACCCCACAGTCTGCGCCAAATACCGTGGGATAAACCTCCTTAATATCGCCTATAAGGTCTTGTCGAGTGTGAAAGACTGAAGCCCACCGTCAACAAACTGTGTTCACCTTGTGAGTGTGGCCTTAGACCTAGGAACGTAACTGAACCATCGTGAAAAAAGAATTGATAAACACCACCTCAACGTCGATTTTAAAGCAGCCTCCGACAGCACGACAAGGAACTGCCTCCACGCCGCTATGCCTGAATTTGGTAAACTGACTCTGGATAACACCAAAAGTCGTTCGATACCAAACGATGGCAATTTGAATACAAAATATTTATTCTTCAAACAAACAGGCATCGAACTCGCGTCTGGGCTCCCACGTCACCATTGACAGTCATAACTTCGGACCATCTAGGGACTAGTATTGACACTAACAACAATGCCAGTTTGGACAGAGTAAGCAATTGAAAAGGAAAGTCCTCTCTCGACGAACTAAAACCAAACTCTACAAGTCATTCATCATTCCCGTTTTACTTTATGGTGCAGAAGCGTTGACGAAGTCAAAGCCGACTTTGTCCGCATAGATTTAAGACTCTACATATCCTCGTAGAAAAGAATGTAACGGTATGATATCACATGGTGGTCAATGTCACATGGTGGCCAATGTCAAACATGGTGAAAATATCTACTCACCGAAGTTTTTCTCTCAATAAATTCAATGTTTTTTTTTTTTGCCCTTCGTCCCAAATGCAGCAATTTTGCTTATCTACATACCCATTGAGCCAGAAATGAGCCGCATTTATTGTACAAAATTTGCTCGAAAACGTCGCATCTTCTTAGAACTTTTTAAGAGTACATTGAGCGAATCGTTGTCACTTGGGAAGTTGAAGAACTCGACATGAAATTCACCTAGTCAGACCGAGTTGCTGCGAACGGCACCGAATCGACTCTCTACGGTCTTCGTTCCTACTAGACGTTGTCTATTCGGTAGAATATTGAATGCTGGGTCTCAAGATGGATGATGGTATTGAGAATAGTACGCTCAGTAGATCTATTATGTTAACCATAGATTGAAGGAAGCTTGATAGGACTCACGCGTGATCTGTCAAAAGAACGCTGTTGAAAAAGTACCTCTATCAGTAAACATAGATATAGATTAACAATTTTGTTGGTAAATCTCGATAGTAGTTTGGGAGCCTCTGCGCAACAAACATTTAAAGATTTTCCAAAAGAACAAGGTAAATAGCAAAGAAATCGATCAAAAACTACGAAAAAAAGTTGCAAAATCAAATTGGGAAATTAAAAAAAAAATTAAAAAATATTTAAAAAAAACTGCTAAAGAAACCAAAATTAAGTAAATTTATATATCATCTTTTGAAAACGTTTGTATCTACATATATAAAATCAAGCCAAGAAAAGGTTATATGTATATGAAAATATTTGATATATTAAAAAATAAACTGTATATTCGGCTTTATTAAATACTAATATTTTTCGGCACCATAAATATAAATGAGATCTTGACTAAATGCCCTAATATTTTTTTATTGCCAAGCCATAATTTTGTATGACTTCATTCATAGGAAAAATAGCCGGCAATAAATTTGGTTAACGACAATTGTATCATTTCTACACAAAATTGCAACATTTACAAGCTACAATGATAAGCATCATTTTGCATACACACACACACATATATATATATCTATGCACACATACAAACACACACTTGACGATATTGCAACCTAATTTCCTTTGACACACATTAATATTATTGTATAACTTTTTATTTCCTTTCGTTCTCGCCTTCGCTCACCTCTTACCGCCGCAGGTTTCGTTGGACAAGGTATTGGCTTCACGTATCGCGAATACTTGGTCTGGTACATCCTGTTCGTGATATTTGTGCCGTATGCAATGCTGCCACTGCCACTGAAATGGTGTGTCGTCGGCGGCACCATCACTGCTAGTTGTCATCTGGCCGTAATTACGATAATTAAAGTTAGACGAAAAGAAGTACGTACATACCCTTGTGCGCAACGAGTCAATGTCAATGGCTCGCCAGTGTGCGCCTTATTATTTTATCACATTCCGTTATACTGTACTGTTATTAGCATGCAGCGAGGATTCCTTTGAATTATTTATTTTATTAGAAAGTCACTGCAGCAATTCGCTGTATTCATTTTTATTACATCATTTTAATGTGAAAGGGTCAAACAGTTGTTTGCTTTATATTTATATTTATATATGAATTTCTTTTTTATTATTTACCATTTATTTATTTATTTTTTTTTTAATTTCTCATTCTCATTTGTTCTTCATTGCGTTGCCAGCAAGCTGATTGCATTACATTTCAAATATTTGCAAACTTCATATTGTACACGGCAATTAATGTGGCTGGCATGTACACCAAGTATCTGACAGATCGTGGGCAGCGCCTTGCTTTCATAGAAACACACAAAGCCATGGAGCATAAGAAGGAATCGGAGAAGGAGTTGCAACGAACACAAAAGTTACTGGACTCAAGTGAGTAGTGAATGGTTGAAATGTTTTCAATTTTATATGAAGCGTTCTTTTTATTCAAAATTAAATTGATGATTTTCCCACAAATGTGAGGGGATACCCATACTACATTCCAAGCCGCCTCCGATTGGCTGAAAGATTTTTGTAAGAAGCGTAACGAAGCTGTTAGCTGCTTCTGCGCTTAAACTAATGTGCTGGGGTAGTCCTACCGTATTCAGGGTTATTTTTTAATAAATTTGTAAATTATGAAGCTCTTCACAAATTGTAAAGGGTTTTCCAAATAGTGGTATTTTTGAGATAGATAATCGAATGTTCAATGTAAAGAGAAAAATATGCCCATAATAATGGAAAATTATTAGCCAAATGTCCGCCAATTTTCCATCACCAAATCGCAATAGCTTCTCGAATTCCATCTTTGACATCTTGCATCAACGTTGGCCTATTGACGTAGAACTTATCTTACACATGGCCCCTAAGGAAGAAGTCGCAAGGTGTTCAATCACAAGATCTCGGTGGCCAATTGCGATCGCCGCTTCGAGAGATAACACGGTCCTGAAACTTTTCCCTTAAAAGATCGATGACACGTGTCGTCGTCTTGTTGAAAGTAAACGTTGACCAGATCCAACCAATTCTGGCAATAAGAAATTATTAATCATCTCTCGATAGCGTCATCTATTCACCATCACTGTGGCTCCTGCCTTATTTTCGAAAAATTTATGTTCAATGATTTCGCCAAACCATACGCCGCACAAAAATGTTACACGTTGGGGATTGAGAGGCATTCCAACAATAAATCTTGGGTTTTTTCGAGACCAAAATGTGACAGTTTTGCTTATTGACGTGGCCATCGAGGTAGAAATGGGCCTTCAAGAAGATTTTTCGATGAAATTCTAGATCATTTTCATGCATTTCAAGGACCCAATCAGCAAAGACATTATATTGTTGATGATCGACCGGCTTGTGTTCTTGTTTTGGTTGTATTTTATAAACTTTAAGGCCCAACTTTTATTAATTACAATGCATTGCATCATTCGATTTTTATTACTGACGATTTTATTACTTACCTAAACCTTGTGGGCTGCGGCGGCAGCGTGTGAGCGGTATTGTCGACGCTCGTGTGTGCAGGGATGCTTTGCTAGATATGTCGGTGCTCATGTATACTGCGACGATACGTGATGACCTTGTATTTGGTGATACTAATTTTGGGCCGGTGTTTAACTGTGTCGCTCGCGAGGTCCCTTAGTCTTCTTATTCTCTCAGCGATCTGCGGGAAAACATCAAGTCAAGCACGTTTTCTGGTGGCAGTTGTACATCCGCGATTGGTTTTGGTGGTAATGTTGGTTGTGTTTTTGGATCGTTATTATACAATGTGGCATTTAGTTGATTTCGAAATGTAGGTTACAAGTGGGCGCGCATTTTCTGTCGTCATATTTGCGGTGAAAGGCTCAACGGTGCAGTTTACTCAAACTTTGTGTCTTTCGAAGTTGATAACGAATGTTGTACTCAGGAGCTAACTTTGCGGCAAAGCTCTCAGTGGCTTTAGATAAGTGGTGCACTGTAGCGAGGACTAACTCGCCGATTTCGGGGTCCATTTTTGACGTATAAGGTAATAGAGATGGACCTATTCTGTCGCAACTCTCTCCATATTCTGCCGAACAATTCGGAAGGCTTCCTATATCCTGCTAAACTTTTCCTTGGCTGTCGTGAGTGTGATAAATGTCTCAGTCGTAGGCTCGTCGAAAAGCGCCTTTGTCAGTAGCTGCTCTTGCGCTTTTAATTCTCCTAATGACTTAATGACTTCTAGAGCCTTCATTGAGGTAGTTCTCGTCATTCCTACTGTACAAAGTATACAAGTTCCACCTGTTCCGAAGGTTTAATACGGCACTTCTTATTTAATTTAAAGTTGCTACCGAAGGGACACTCACTAGATGGCGAACCACTATCTAGGCATATCAGAAAAGGAGTACTCGACCACCTATAAAAACTGATGGACAGGTCGACTTAGCTAAAGGTAATAAACGCTATTTACCGAGAGTCCCTCAGCACTTTCTTGAAGTCTTCAGTGAGTGGCACATACTCAGAGTCAAAGCACTACCCATTGTAGACAAAGAGCTTGAGCTGCCTCGAGAGTCCTGTGTAATACTAGCGCAACTAAGATCCAAATATTGTACTCAACTAAATTTCTACTTATCCAGACACGACCACGATTTACCACATGTATGCCCTGCATGCAATGAGGTCCAGCACGGCTCTTACCACCTCTTCGCAAGCCCCCTAGAGCTCGCCTATCCCTCTGCTTCGAATGCACCGAAAAAAACACGTTTCCTACTCCTCTTTTAGATCTTATTAATGGCTTAGACTAATCTTGTCTGTCTTAAGCGGGGCTAGCGAACGATTTTAACAACTTCAACCTTTTACTGAGCTTACCGGGTGGGTCGAATGTGAGATCATTGGTAAACATGCTTGTGGAAACACATGTATTTTGAACTCCAAAAAATTAGTGATGTGAGTTCAGTTGACTAGATGACCGGCACAAAAGACAACTGAGTCATCATTATCATTCACCATGTAGTTCCATTCTTGAGAAGACAACGCAAAGTTGAAAGCAAATGAAGGACTAATCAAATCACGCACCAGGGTGCACAATCAGCCTACTCTATGATTTAATTTCGACAGCTTGCGGTTTGCTCCGTAGCCTCGCTTTTCGGCAAACAAAACACCTCACTGTTTTGTTTGCATAAATTTGCATAGTTATGTTCAGTAACGAGGTGCATTTGAAGATTTCTTTTTTATCTTTTTTTGTATTTCTTTTTTGCTTTGCAAAGTCTTCGTATGCACAGAATTATCATGCAGAATATAAAGTGAAAGAAATCAAAAGTCAACCGCACTTTCAAGCCTATTTTTTCCCTCCTTTTTCCATAAGAAACTCTCTTCAACTTTGCATTTCAGGCGCAAATTAGTAAAATTACTCAAATGTTATTAAGAAATTGTGGCATACTTTTAGGTACTCTACCTGTGCTTTATTAAAAACTTATACAAACATAAGTGCATGTGTAGATGTGCATTTTCTTCACGAATTTCCATTTCCTCGGCAGGAAGATTTGCATTTTATGGCTACAGAAATAAAAACTCAGTTGCTGGGTTGAGAGCTTCAAGGAAAAGTTTGCTTTACATTTTTAGTGAGTTTTGCCTTGGAAGTAATGGTAAACCTTAAGAAAGCTTTTGTGGTATTTTGCTTTTGCTTAAAAGATTTTTTAAAATTGCCATACTGACATTATTCCGTACCTACATAATGAGTTATCACATTCTCTCTTTCTTTATTTACAGTATTGCCAAATATTGTGAACAACCAGATACGTGCTGAAATGTACAAAGGCACCGATCCTACCGTCGAGACACAATTTAATAAGCTCTATGTATATCCAATGGATAATGTGAGCATACTGTTCGCTGATATCAAGGTAAGTTAAACCAAGAAGGAACAGTTTCTGTGGTTGCATTGAAAGTTTGCCTTCGTAACTGGAATATTTTATTGTTAGAATAGAATACAATGTGAATATATTTAAACCTGACGTAGATACCGTTTATACGGCTATAACCCAGCTACCAATATTGTGCCATTAATTTCTATTTTTCGCTGTTTGGCCCCAATTAGAAACACCAAGTACAGCCAGGTTCTTCTTTAAATGGTGTTTCCAATGAAGTGGAGGCCTTCCTCTTCCTCTAGTCCCACCTTTCCTTCGGAAACTCTAACGCTGACTCATAATATGTTGCCATCATCCATGTCTTCGCACCATATAGCTGGACGATAACGTTGAGCGACTTGTAGAGTTTGGTTTTCGTTCGTCGGGAGAGGACTTTACTATTCAATTGCCTACTCAGCCCAAAGTAGCACCGGTTGGTAAGAGTGATTCTGCGTTGGATTTCAAGGCTGACATTTTTATCGGTATTAATACTGGTTCCAAGATAGATGAACTTATCCACGACTTCAAAATTATGACTGTCAACAGTAGCGTGGGGCCGAGTAGTGAAAGCGATTGCTATTTGTTTAGATGAGAGGACCCATATTCTTCGCTTCCTTGTCCAGTCTGGAGAAATCAGAACTCACGACACGGTTGTTGAGGCCAAACATGTCAATATCATCGCCTTACGCCAGCAACAGTATACTCTGATATCTCGTCTGGTATCGAACGACTCGGAGAGGCCCTTCCGGATTCTGCCGAATCCTTTCGTCAGTTTATACCATCGGTTTTAATAATGTGTCGATCCCCTTCTCACAGATCTTTTCCAAGACTTGGCGCCTGGTCTGAAGCCACACTGATAAATCCAATTATTTCGTTTAAGGAGACTGTGTGGTCCTCTTGCATGCATCTTATCAGTTCTTCACCGCCGTACTTAAATAGCTCGGAAACTCTTTAGAGTCGGAAAATCAAATAACAGTTCCACTGTCATCGGTTGGGGAATCGGGTTTGCCATCTCCTGGTGTTCCATTTTTACTACAATTCTGAACGCTGGAGAAGTGCTCCCTGAGTTTGCTCTAGTCTTGAAATCTTCTGTAAATTATCCCTTATTTTTGAAAAGAGCGTTCATATACAAATGTGTATATTGTATATTACTGGCGGCCGGGGTAGGCGAGTGAGGACATTCAAAAGGCCCGACCTCAAATCATATTACGAAAAATATCCAAAAGTTGTTAGAATTTAATTTAGATAAAAAATTAAGTTAAATTTTCTAAATGCGGTCGTTTCTCGGAAGAGAATGTCCAACCCTCCGAGTGAGTTTAGGACATGAAATAAAGGCTCCTCGTAAAATAGCCAACAGCCCTTCGGATGCGACATAGTAGGTCCCTTCTTTTTTTGGAAAAACCTCCAGACGCAAAACCACAAATTGGAGGAGGAGATCGGCGGAAATCGCTTCAGCGGTTTTAAAGCGTCATTTATAAAATAAATATAAATATATATATAATAGAAGTCATCCCCTTATATGCATATATAGCGTATATATATAGTATAAAGAAAAGGTTGGCTGATATATACGATTTAAATATGTATATATGTTTTCAAAGATATGGAGCACGTGGAATATAGCTGACTCCGATTTCTGTATGGAAAATTAGTTTTTATCAAGTTGATATAGACTACAAAAATCTACAAACTTTAACCATTTTTCGGGCAGTGCAAGAACTTTTGTGGTTTATTGCGAACAACATGGTCAAACGGTTTCCATTTCACCCACCATAACATTCCAGTTCGCTAACGACCCTTCCCCTGCCGACATTTCGGCTAATCGTGAGTAAATTCTAACAAAAATATAATGAAAGAAATATGTTGATCTTTTCTTGGTTCTTCATTTAGATGATGAGAGGGGTTAATTTGGTTCACTTCGTTTATCATTTATTCACGAATTTCTTATAGTTCCTCTTCTAAAGAATAAAGCATTTACCCCGAATTTTTTTATAAACACAATTAATTTGACAAAATTAAAGCAAGCGAAAAAAAATTCAACGCTGATTCTCTGCATCCATACCAAATTACGATCATCGCCGTTCGAAACGAGCATTACGATTGATTCGAGTTTGCGAATGCAATTTGTGAGCATCCGATACCTTTGAATATATTTTTTTTTTTTTTTTTTTTTTTTTTTTTTTTTTTGCAAACTAAACATCTTTTCTATCAATGAATCCAGCCTCAACCTACATCAACACTTTGACTTGATTCACTAAAAATTAAAAACAAAAGAACAAAGGAAAATTTAGATTAACATCATTGAAAGCTAATCTCCGACGATCTTCGATTTTCAACAGCCAGCGAAGTTTAAAAATGGAATAACTCATGATAAGACAAAAATTATTTGATTAATGGAGATTTTTTTAGGCTGGGGAAAATCTTAGCAGCTAATACAGTCTTATGAGTGAGCATTGACAATAGAAATAGTGGAGGGGGAAAAAGATCATACAAATGAATTTAAAAAATGAAATATAATAAATACAACACGTTTTTAAAACACCCTGGGATATGAACAAAATAAAATGTTAATGTCTCTTTTTTTAACAGGGTTTCACTGAACTGGCGAGTAAAACTAAAGCTCAGCAGCTGGTCAAGATTCTGAATGATTTGTTTGCGCGGTTTGATCGAATTGCAGAGGTAAGTTGTGTGAAAATTAAAGTAATTTATAATTAGTTTCAGTTTCGAAAGCAAATTAAATGTGAATAATGTGATATGATATGATATTTGTTAGCAATACATTTAAATTTAGTAAAAGAGCTCTAGAAAGTTATCAAAAACTCCTCTAGGAAATACTGTCTCTAAAACTAATAAATTACATGCGTTATTAAGGAAGCTTAACCCAAAGTATTTGACGCAAACTTCGTGGTTTTGGCACAGCACACGTGGGTTTCTTTGGCTGATCATGCCTTCGCCTGGTCACATTCTGCAAGTAATGGATGTATCATATTCAGTTCTAAGCAGTCATGCTTAAATAACTCAGTCAGTGAACCATCATCGCAGCTTTATTATCCTTTGAGCTATTAATGACTCATAGTCGGTGATAGTACGTCTGAAATATCGTTACGATTGGCGTTTCGGGCTCGTCATGTCCGGCTGATGGATTTTGGCTTCCATTTAAGCAGGCCGAAGAAATGTTGAATCCATAAACTCAGTATCTTCAGTCACCATGTCCCTCTTTTCCTACAAGAAGAAACTCCGATCTTAACACATTTTGAAAGACAACCCATCTTTTGCAGATTTTTTTTTTGTCGGCCGCCTCCCCGATTTGCAATTGCGTTCTGCTACCCTCACTAACTTTGAATATCTTTCGCATATTCTTCTTTTTTCACTTAACAGCGGTACAAAAAACATACTCTTCTTTTGAGTTTACCGAAAATCAATAGTTTCGCTGTCCTACAGTTCTCTTAAACCGAGTTATTGATGAGTAATCTCAAAGATCGGAAGTAAAAGTGGACTAGACAACTGTTTTTCGTTCTTAGGTGCAGCAAGTCAGTGGGCCAATTCGATGCTAGTTCCACAAAGACACTGGGGACGTGTCTTCTGTCTCTCACAATATGGTCGATGTGGTTTCAAGTCTTCCGATCCAGTGACACACAAGTAACATGATTTTTTTTTATCGAAATCTGGTATCACAGTTTACCTTATTTCGGGCGCAAGCAAGTCGATCCACCTCAGTCCGTTAAGAGAGGTTGTGACGTGAAAGCATCTGTGGTACCAACCTCCTTCGCTTTCGTCGGAGCGGGGCGCCTGAGTTTCTCTTTCACACACGTCTAATGCCATGTGTGCTCCCTTATATAAATACTGTAATAAAAGTTCTTGTCCCATCCCAGTTGGCGGTTATATAAGCTTTATTTTTTGTAACTATTATACATCAACCTGCTTTTGCCGTAGCTACTGTAACGAAGCTTTTGTAATTTGTTGATTGGAGCTGGTTTCTGCTTGGCGGGTTCCGAACCCAGTGCATACATTTATATAGCGCGCTGCTTGCTTCAAGACCGACGGTCGCTCGCAGCCGCAACTCTGGTGCACAGACGCTTTAATCAGACTTCAGCACATTCCTAAACCAAATATGTCGAAGAGCCTCCACTGAAGCTTCCTCACTTTTAATCGAAAACCCTGGCTCCACACGGATTTACTAATGCATCTTGAACCAGAGTTGCTAGTGGACGCACGAGTAGAAATTAAATAAGCCCAGAACTTTAAGTTCTCTTAGAGTTCTCCGTTCCAATTACAATGGAATCTCATAAATTTTTCATTTCTTTTATGGAATTTTTTAAAGCTAAACATTTCATTAGCACCTCAAGTATCTCTTTAGCTGACAGTCCACGCAATCAATGTCTCGTCAGTTAACTTGCGCAGACGTCACTTAGGATCAATTGCTGTGACATATCGGAAGCAAATAGCGGCACTTAAGCGATGCCATCATCTGTCACTGTTGACACTTATTCCACACTCATTCCGCTCCGCCGTCTTGTAGTTGTAGTAAAACTTGAATGACACAAGTAAATATGCAGACGCAATAAACAGGAAGGAAAGAAAGAAAAAACAAAAAACAAAAAAAAAAACAAAAAACAAAAAACAATTCATTCATAAGTAGTCAAACGAAGCCAAATTGCTAAAGATAAGACAAGAGTGTAAATATATAAAACTTTTTACGTTTTTCCGGTTTCACTCTGGACATTGCTGCAACGTGCCGTGGACACTTCACTTGTTATGTACATATATACAATTGTGTGTATTGTGTTTACGATGCCACTTTTGCCAACGCTGCTGCGGCTGTTTTTATTGCTGTTGTTTGTTATGATGATACTTTGTTAAACACGCACGATACATACATAATTACATACATACATATATGGCTGGTTCTGTTGTGTCCGCTTCATTTGACCGCAACCGCAGGACAATCACTGTTTGCGTGTGAAACTCTTGGGTGATTGCTACTACTGTGTGTCACAATTCGAGAGCGACAATTGGAAGACTCGACCGGATCATGCGGTATGCAGTGTGGAGACTGGTCTGCACATGATAAAGGCCATTAAGGATGTGCGACTAGATACGCATGTGAGTATTAAAAAGAGAGAATATCAATATAAACACACGTACATACATACTTACTTATTAAATTTGAACAAGTTTATGGCCGAAACATATTTCTGCAGGAAGTTAGCGGTGGTAACTGTATACACTTTTTTATATTTAAATTTATGGGTTTTTATTTTCACCAAAAACAAGTTCAATAAAATCCAAAAAAAAAACACACACACGCACATACACATGAAGATCAAAAATATATGTGATATTGAATATTGTATGAGCCGTTTATTAGCTTACTAGAGCTTACCACCGACTGCGTCTACACGAAATTTGAAAATTGCCTTTTATAAAGTTTTAGTTTGTTTTTTTAAGATATTTACTTCATAGTATTACATAAGTTTTTATATAAAATTTTGATGAATACTCCTTGCAAGGAAAAGGTAGAGTGGTACGTAAAAATTCTAATTTTGAAGATGAAATCATACCTATTGGTTGTAGATGAGAATCGCACTATTATTTTAAGGCCAAAAATGTACTAGTTTGCCTTGGACTAGAATTATACCAGTATTTTTCGGTAGCATCTGAACTGGTTTGAAAAAATTCTAGTAATGGTTGGAATAGAGGTACTTTTTTCATTAGCCTTTTTTTTGACATTTTGTTCAGTATTGTTTAGTATTTCATCACGCCTTGCGCCTGAACAAAGTTCACAAATCGTTTAACTTTATTACGAAAATTCACATTCACGCTGCGCTCAACTTATTATCAACCCAATTCGGCTTACTAAGCGTATTATTCGCAGCACCATCACATGAGTTTCAACGTTCATTATAGGATAATATTCGACCGAATAGACTACGTCCAGCATGCAGTGAAAAAAATATAGCCGCCGTAGCTGAGAGTGTACACGAAGACGGTTGAGAGTCGACTGCGCGTCGTTCGCAGCTATTCGGACTGACGTATGAACTGGCTTGGCGCGTATTACGTCGTGATATTAAATTTGAAACATACCAAAAACAGCTTGCGCAAGAACTAATGCCGCTAGACCTTTTCAAAAGACATCGCTTCGCTCTATGGGCTCTTGAAAGAAGATCCAACGTTTCGAGCCAAATTTTGTTCAGCGATGAGGACCATTTATGGCTCAAGGGGCATGAAAAAAAAGCAAATTGCCGCGTTTGGGACTAAGATCAACCTGAAGAGATTCAAGATCTGTCATTTCATTAAAAAAGGAATGATTTGGTCTGTTTTGTGAACCGGTAGCATCATCGGTGCATATTTCTTCAAAAGTGATGCCGGTGAGAACGTAATCGCCAATGGTAATCTACTATTCAATACCCAAAATTGAAGCTTGTAAACTCGATGACGTTTAGTTTCACCATGATGGCGCCATCACTCACACATCGCATCAATAAATGGATTTATTGAGAGTTTATTTCGATGAGCAACTAATTTTACGTTTTGGGTCGTACGATTGGCTACCATGTTATATCGCACCGTATAACTTTTCTTCTGTGGATATGTAAGGTCTAAAGACTATGCGGACATCACGCCTGCCATTCGAAATGCAAGCCCCGGCAAACATTAGAAAGAGATAATTTTCAAAATATAAATGCCAAAGAATGTTCTTTCGAATCGTTATGAATATTCCCAATTAAACTTAAGTTTTTTTTTTTTTTTTTTTTTGCTTTGAAAAAGTGGGACACATCGAACCACCATTACATTTCTTCAATTGTAAAAAATGATGAACATTCCTAGACTAGCTTCAGATACATAGATGGTTATCTGATCCGCTTTATGGAAAGAAATAATGCAGCAAATTTCAAGTAAAGTGAACCACATTTTTTCAAATATGTTGGTGCATTGTCAACTTCCAGTGAAAGAAGTTTTTCAAAACCATTCACAAAATATAAAATTATTAAAATCGGTTCAACCAATGCCGGAATCAATCGAACTGGTCTTTAATTATTATAATCCCGATTGATCTGAGGCGAATCAGTTTTCAAATTGTATGAAGGAATCAGTATTTTAACTGGTATATATGTGCTGGTATTTAACTAGTATGAAGCTGTTGCTTAATGGTAATTAGATGTACGATGATATAAAACCGGTATAAAAATGGTATAAAAATGTAAACCATCCCCCTGCAGGGCTTGTACAATATATTAATTTTTATTGTAATGTTGGGATTTAATAATGATAATAAAATAAAACTCTGATATAATTTTACGAAAATGAAGACCTGTATCTATAATAATATTTCTTAACAGGCAATTTTTTTTTTAATTTTCTGTAAGCTGCTAGAATTACCACTCTGAGAGCTTACCCTGACTCTTACTACCTTAAGATTTTGAACTTGAGCTTTACTTATGGTTATTGCGAAGCATACTTTAAGAGAAAACTACACGCTCTTGGAATCAAAAGGGTGCTTTGATGGTATGAGGGAAATTCTAGAAATAAATACGGTTTCTCCCTGAAATCGACATGTCCGTACAGCAGCCTCGATTATATTTCAATGCAAGCCTTTAATCTGTAATCTATTGGTGTAAACAATTTTGGTGGGCTTATATTGCATAGTAACAATAGTAGCCTATTCACTTAATATGTGAGCTGGAAGACCGGGAGGTTTTACGCGTGCTTAGAAACTCTACCCTTTTTATGAATGGCATCTTCGGTGCTTATTACTGAGTCGATGCATTTATACTGATATTCGACCCACTCGAATAATTTTAAATGTATTTAATTTATGGCTGGGGCTTGCTCTTTTTTGGGATTAAGGCACGCTCGCATAACTATTCAGCGGGCTTCTGATGAATATTATTCATGCTTGGGTAAATTGTAACTATAAGCTCTTTTACTGCCGAAACAGTTGTTTCTAATGCTGTTATTCAGTTCCGGGAATTCTCAATCGGACTCTCATACTTTTTGTGAGACTGAGTTTCTGAAGGCCATAGATAAAAGCTTTACGAGCATCTGGCAAGAAATTATCGATGTGATGTCTGGCGTTATAATGATGAAACGCAATTCACCTGCCCTTGGCCAAAGCTGGGCGCTTCTGAGATTTCCCTTCTTCAGACGGTCCAATCCTGGTCGACAATGCTGGCTTGGAGAACGTTTGTGTCGACTCACTGCCCTTCGACTGCGACCATTTTCGTTTGACGTTGCATCATTGGCTTTAGGCTTATGAACCTTCTGATTGGACTTTTACCAGTGCCAGACCCAAATATAATATACATATATGTTACATATGTATATATATATGTGTGTGTGGCATTTATAGGTATATGCAACAAATATACACATTTTAATAAAAAGTTCATGTTTGTGTGCTGCCAACACGCAAGTTTCGTGGCACTGGCGTCAATGTTGACAATTCATTTACATGTAAATCGCTTTGAATGCATTTTACCATGTCAGCAACACACTAAAAAGTACACCAGGGAAATATACATATGTATGCTACACTCTCACACACACTCACACATGCACACGCTTTTCCTATTCAAATTTGTCCATAATGGATAGTCAAATTGTTATGATTTTATGCAAGTAAAAAATTATGAAATTTAATAGTTTGAATTTTCCAATCGAGCAACAAAAAAGAGAGGCAATCGATAAAATTAACAAGAACAAAAAATTACGACGAATATGCTTGAACTTGTAGAATTCGAAGTACTGCATTGCCCATTTCGGTCTGTGTGCAAATTATAGCTTTTGAGTCAGATTCTCTTTTGTGTAAGCTTTGCAAGCTAAATTGTACATACTTCCGTTTCATCCTCACAAAATGTACATGTAAATGTAAATATATATTGGTGCAAGTACATATAGCATCGTATAACAGCCCGGCAGTTACATGAACTGGCTGAAAGCCACATCGAAACTATTATGCCAAGCAACGTTACCGAAGAAAATGTTCAAAAAATCGGAAAATTTGTACTTGCCGAATGGATGAATTAAATTTTGACAGATAGCAGAAGGATTACAGTTTAGCAAATAATGAGCTAGAGAGATTTTGCATCAACATCTGAATATAAAAAAAATTAGTACGCGTTATGCTCACGCCGCTCTACAAGCAGCGACGATTGGAGAGTTGTAAAGATTTTTTGGTGTTGTGCGAAAATAATTTGGAAGAAATTTGCTAACGCGTTGTAACAGTTAATGAAACCTGGATTCGTCAAACTCCAAACAGAAGTCGATGCAGTGGATAAAAAAAAGGGAAAAGGCCAACGAAAAAATTCAAAGTGAAGAAGTCGGCGTCGGAGTTTATGGTTACTATTTTCTTGCCAAAGGGGGTTTTATGCTATCAACGACCAATATTAAGCTAAATTGTTGATTCAGGGGAGAGAGGCAGTCATATATAATATAAAGGACGTGAGAAGTTAGCGTGCGAAATGCTCTCTCTTCAAGACAACGCACTCGTTCATCACACGGAATGCTTTAAAAGTGACTGGATTTACAGAAATTAATCATCCATCCTACAATCCGGATCTGACTCCCAGTTACTATTGAAAAAGGATTTTCTGGGACGAAATTTTTAAACGACAGTGAGATTAGTAATAAAAAGACGTCATCTGCAAAGAGAATGACTGACATATTAATCTTCAGACTCAAAGTGATGATTGAAATCACCAGAGAAAAAAATTAAAACTGATGAAACAAGCAGAAAATCATAATGTCAAATCATACATAGGAAAACTAATGCAAGATTCTTCAAAAAAAATATCCGCTCTGAAAGGTATATAAGAACTTTAAGACTCCAGTTGAAGTGAGCCTTACTGGTCACGTAGTAACGAAGAAAAAGCAAATTGTTTTGCAACTGATGCAACTAAGAGATTAATGTAACAGGATCTAACCGAGAACGGCCTTGAAACTCAGTTTAAAATTGAAACATCTACCCTAAAACTTGTTAGAGCTAACAGTTGCACTAGCCGGTCTGAGACTAATTTGCTTTCCAAATGGGTGGGAAAAAATAGCAGATATTAATGAGGTAAAAACACAGGCATCTTCTTACATAACACACCAGTGATGTCGCAGCTCTGATGAAGCCCAGAAATGATTGCAAATGAATTGAGCTTGAATGCCATCGATACACGAAGAAATCTGCTCTATGGGTACCACGAATTTTCAATTAGGCCCAAAAAGAGGCTCGAGTGCATTTTGCTATTTTTTTTTTCTAAATAAATTCTAAAATGGTCAGTCTAGCAACTTTAGTAAAATTGTTACCGATGACGAATCTTGGTTCTTTAAGTATGATCTAAAAACCAAACAGCAGTACATGGTATCGAACCCAACAGCAGCCAACCCACCCGTAAGACCTAAGCAAAAATCAGCAGCAAAAGTAATGAAATCAGTTTACTTAACCCAATCTTAAATCGGAGCTGCTATTCCACTGGAAAAGGCTCAGACGGTAACTGCAAAATGGTACACCGAAGAGTGTTTACCAAAAGTTTTCGAAAATTTGCTGGAAAACAGGAATAAAGAGATTTCGCTGCGCGCCATCCTGCACTGCTACTATAACGAGTAATTTTATTACGATCTCTGGGATCGAAGGCATACGTTCTTGGTTAATTAACCGAACTTAATTCCCACGTACATGGCGTTGATATTACCCCGAGGGTAATACCGAGGTGCGACCACAATTAGGAAAAGTAATTTTAAATTTTTTATGGCTTTAAGAATCAAATTAACGACCTTCCACACAGATAATGGGACCGACATTAGTGTCATGGAGTACCATAATTATTTAATTGCCAAAAAAAAGTATATGAAAAGAGCCAAAATATAGCATTCATAGTTTTGCAACTGATGCCAATTTGGCATACTTCGGATTAGTTTGATTATGATTTGCTTATTCTCGATCTAAACTAGTATTTTTCGTAGTCAATGGAATATTTTAACTCACTTCATGGCAGATAAGTCGCTGTGTGCGTATGATTTATGTTATGGCAAATGTACGTGAGCCAAAACCAGAGGCTTCGACCGCAACATCAGCCACTTTATGACCCATTTTGAGAGTGAACTATTGCGACCTACACTTTGTACAAGATGTACGTTTGCTTTATACATGTTACGTATGTATGTGTACTTTTGTATAACAGCACCAGTGTTGCTCCATGGCATGCACAATTCCTTGCAGTCATATTGTATGTAGATATGTACACAATTATGCCCACATACATATATAAAGGAAAAGTGCCAGAAAATGTTTTCAAAGCGTATATTTTATTTTACTCCACTGTTTACTACTGTTCGCATACAAATGTCCAATATATAATAAACATAAACGAATTTCAAATTTGCCTTATTTCGCCCTTTTGTTGTTAAGCCTTTGACTTCGGTATATGGAAATATATTTAATACAGTCGCTAGTTCTTCTCTACGGTTTGCTGATACAAAGTAAACTCATGTTTTTCTCCAGTTTGTGATACTTGCACCGGAGTGGACGTCTTCCTCTTCCTTGTACAACAGTTGAATTTTTGTTGCCTGTACGGACGACAGGACCTCGCTATCGTGGCATATGTGGCTTAATTATCTTTACTATGTCAATGTCGTCGTCCATCCCATATATCTCATTCCACGACCGCGGTATATGACGTTGCCAATGCTCAAACGATCATAAGTCTTTTACAAAATCGCTTTCTCAAAAGCTTCTAGTGCTGGCTTATCAGGTGTTTGGTCTTTGTTCGCAGACAGACCCATTTTGATGGAAGCAGAACTATCTAATGGCAATATCATCGGTATATGCCAGCAGTTGTACGCTCTTATAAAAGATGATGCCTTCCTTCTTTAGCTCTCCAGCATTAATATAAAGAAGTCACGGCATAAATATTTATCTTGCTTTAAACTTCGTTTAAGCCGGAGTGGTTTTTCCCGATTCCGATGGCACTTTTAGCATTAATCAGCGTCAGTTTACACAGAAATATAAGTTTTGAGGGAATAAGAAATTTAGCGTGTGCTATGTCAGTTCTTCGCCACCATACCTGAAACACTCGGCCCTCGCCGCTTTGTTATTCTTCAGGCGGGTAGCCGTTAATCATAGTTCGTAATAGTTGGTCTTTGGAACGAAATCGAACTAGCGGGCTCCCTGTGTAGAATCTTGGGAATTTTATTGTGAAAGTGTTGTCGAAACAGAAGACGATGCGGTAGTCCATCTCTTTCAAGAATGATGTAGAGTCTAGTATTTGGGCGTGTCCTAAGCCGTTCTTCCATGATTTAGTCTTCTGTCGTTGCAGCCCGCATGAAGTTTCCCGTATAAGTTTGCTGATAGAAGTTTAATTAGAATTTCGAGAGCTTTCGTATAAGTTTAGGCCAGCGCAATTGAAATGAGTGTGGAGGCCGTATGCTTCTATAAGTAGCCTTATCTAGTGCTGGCCATCAGACAGTGACTTCGTAAAATATGGGTCTTATTGTCGCTTTGTATAGTGAGTACACAATATGTGGTCAAAGTCCCCATCTCTTACCGATCGCCCCCGCTTTTAGGCGCAGAGCACGATCATAGCTTTCTTAAACATTTCTAGCGGGCTCTGGTGCCAGGTGAGTTTGCTCTAACTTACCCGATAGAGAAATGTCATCAACCGAATAAAACAAACAACAAAACTTTATCTTTTGGTTTTATTCCCATCCATCACAAACCCCACTTAACCAGCTCTTTCTATTTCTAACACCACACAACGGAACTGCACTTTAACTGAGAGGATAGAAAATAAAGTCATCATGTTACAGTTTCAAAAATTACAGCAATTAAAAACATTGCAAAATACTCGTACATCGTAGTTATTATGTACACACGTATTCCCAAATGTAAAATAACTCACACACAAAGTTACTAAAATAATATTTTTTTTATATATCCACACACAGGTCGATTTGAATATGCGCATCGGCATCCATAGCGGCTCGGTGATGTGCGGCGTATTGGGCAATAAAAAATGGCATTTTGATGTTTGGTCCAACGACGTTATTATTGCGAATCATATGGAATCTGGCGGTATACCCGGGTGAGTATTAAATTTCCAATACTCATTTTTTACGCCAGGAAAATTACGCAATTAAAAGCTTTCAGTGTAGCAATAAACTTACAGCGGATGCGAAATTGGTAGTAAATTAAAGAACAGATTTTCGGCCAAATATTGTATGTACGAGTATGCAAATATATGTATATATGAATGTATTGTATGTAGATGGGCTTATTGAGAATTTTTAATCACCATGAATATGCGTTTTTAAGGGTTTTACATAAAATTTTTAAATTCTACCCGCTGAAATGATTTTCGTCCAATTTGTGGTGTGTGTCTTGATGTTATTTCAACAAATGGAGGGACCGGCAGTTTATTCTAAGCGACCTCCGAACGGTCGATGGATTTTTATGAGAAGCTTTAAATTTATGTCCGAAAAACACTCATAAGGCATGACATTATCTACCGATAGGTAATGATGTAATGATATAGACTGATACATTGAGAGTTATTATGTGCTGGTTCAGGGTATCGTTATATTCATAACTTTTTCGGCGCGAACCACACAACTTTCTAACCTTTTTAGCACAACATTCTGCTACTTTCCGAATGAAAACGTCATGGGCAGTTAATGAAGCAGCACATATAATTATTCGTTTTTCCAGTTCAGTTTGGAAACGAAGGGGTATCTAGTTATAGTATGTAGTTATGGTTAACAGAAAAATTGTTTGTACCGTGGTGAGTGCGGAGAGATAATTGAAGCTTTTAAGTTTTACGTCTGTCCATTGTTCGCGGCCCATAGATGGGATCTTTCCACCTCACCGATTGTGAAAAGAAACAGCTCTGTTGTCTGTTTATGCTACTGCTTTCTAAGTTGAAGTAGTATAACGTGACCACGCATAAAAGCGGCGAAAGGGCACCTTGTTGAGGAGTCTCTCTGCTTACATAACTAGTTCGTGCCGCTAGACCGTTTGATGCTATAATCATTAGGTTCATAAGCATCTGCAAAAAATGTCGTTCTAGCCGCCATGTGACAGGGAATCAATAATCGTGATTAATTCTGTATTGTTAAAGCCTTTCTTTAATAACTTTCCAATTACATATATCACCCCCTGTAGTGCAGCACCTGTCGATCGAACCATCATGTGGGCTTGTTGGGCCATCGGTTAAATATTCGCTACGAATCCTCTTACGTGTTTATCCATTAGCTTTTGTAGAACCTTCTGGAACCTTCAGGATGAAGAAGGTGAGGCCTACAGGTCTCAAAGCTTTAATTTTTTCGTGTGTTTTTCTGCCCGATTTTCATAGGAGCATCACCTAATTTTTTACAGCTTCTTAAGAAACTCTTATAAGAAAGTTGGATACTGATCTTGTACATCTTTTCAAGCCTTAGAACTTTTTAATTACTAAAGCTTGCAGTAGCCAATGGTTAACATTGCGTAATGAAATTCGAATAACCAGTATTCGGGTCCTTATCCGACCAACATTCAAAATTGCGATCGCTCCTTGGCAGAGAATGATAAGGGCTTCGAGTGTATTTCGGACAAGAAATAAAAGTTTCTCATTAAAATCCATCGGCAGTTTTCGGTGCGAGCTTAGAACAAACTCTAGCTTTTTTCAGGCACTTCAAAAACTAGAAGGATTTCGGCCGATGTAGCCTATGAAGGACCCGTGGTGTAGATATATATAGAGGATTCTCCAATAAGAAGTGTTATTCTGCATATTGACATTTGACAAGTAAAAACCACGGCACAACAACGCTTCAACAACGCATTAAAACCATTGAAATTCTCTATAGAAATGGTGAAAACTTAGCAGAGACGGGTGGTAAAACACAAATATAGCTGTTGAGACAAGTTAGAGATGTGAAGAACAAAACTCGTGCACGTCGCTCGAGAACAACTGAGAATATTGTTGCTGTAGCGCAAAGTTTTGTAGAAAACGTCTGTTTGGTACGGCTTATGATCCGGGGGATCATTCGACATGACTTTTTCGAAAATAAGACTGGAGCAACAGTTGCAATGAATGAATTACGCTACCGATGAATGAAATTTTTATATCCGGAAATGGTTCTTATTGATCTGGACAACGTTTACTTTCAACAAGACGGCGCCACGTGCCACACAAGAATCGAAACCGCGTTATTTTACCAAGAAGTGATCGCAATTGGCCGCCCAGATTTTGTTATTTAACTCCTTGAGACATCTCACTTTGATGCTACGTAAAAGATAAGTTGTATTCCAACCGGCCGATGCCGATTCAGGACCTAAAAGATGAAAATCGTGAAGCTATTGAAGGCATACAGCAGCCAATTTGCAATTTGGTGATGGAAAATTTCGTGAAAAGGATGCGGTCCATCAAGCTCAGCCGTGACGGTTGTTTGGCTGATATTGTTTTCCATTAAGGCAAACCAGTGGCTTTGCATTGAAATGCACATCCGATCACTTATTTAAAAAAAGTCATTTCTCTTTGAATATCAAAACATCACCTCTTATTACCGGTGACGTTCTGTTTATTTGTCAATTGATTATTTCCTTATTCACGCTACAAAAAAAAAAGACATTCCGCACGTGTTAACAATTAATTAGACATCAATTACCTCTTTGCAGGCGCGTACACATCTCCGAGGCCACGCTCAAGTGCCTCAACGAGGCCTACGAAGTGGAGCCGGGCAACGGCGGCAGTCGTGACAATCACTTGAAAATGCTGAACATCAAAACGTATCTGATAAAACGCACCGAACCGTTAAGGTAAGTCTTTGAGGCGTAAGGTGAAATGCGCAAATAAATAAATAAATATGTATGTATGTAAATAATTGATTGAAGCGCCGCAAATCCACGAAGGAGACTGAGTGTTGACTGAAGACAATTCGCGCGCACACTCACACACATACACACACTCAAATACGTCTCTTTTATTTATCCAAAATATTTAGGCTTTCATTTCAGCTAACACTTTGTTGTTGTTGTTGTTGTTGTCGCGACACGCTAACTAATTTGTTTTATTTACACTATTTCGTGTTTTGTTTGCTTGTGTCACCTCTAGGCCGAAGCGTCGTTTTGGCACGCGCAGCAGTCAACATTTGGCCAACACCAACAGCACGACGGCGGCGACCGCGAGCAGCGACACCAACACCCCAACAGCCGTCACAACACCCGCCGCCAGAATGGAGACTAAATCCTTTTCGGCAGCAGCAGTACTCGGCAATGATGCTCAACAGCAGCAGCAGCAGCAACAGCAGCATAAGCAACAACAATCACAGCAAACGCAAAACTTGCCGCCCACAGCACTTAATGCGCTGCAAAAGAAGAATATTTCAGTAAACTCGCTGCCAAATGTCATGGAAGGTGTAGCATTGAGTGGACTGGGTGGACGTGTTGGATCTGGCGGCAATGCGTCTGGTGGCATTAACGGTATTGCCGGCGGTGGCGGTGGTGTAGCCGATTCAACTGGCCTGTCGACAGTCTCCTCGCCCACAACGATGACAGCACCCATATCCGTGGTCGATCAGCAGCCGCTAAAATTGAATGGCACAGCAGCGAGCTCACAGAATCTGACAAGCACAATCGACCCGAAAGCATTAATTATTGAGGATGAACCGACCACTGAATGGACACCGGAAATTCCATTTAAAAACGTACGTGCCACACTCACTCATGATTGCATTCACACGCACGCACACACACGCACACCCATGTTGTTTGCATATACTCGTATGTAGTTTTTATTCCGCTATTTGTGTGCGTGTGTGCATAATTTTAGTTGGCTTCAATGGCAATATTTGCAGCGAAACCTCATAGCAAAGCATTCATATTACATGTTTCATGTGTGTTAGTATTCAGGCTTCCTTTTACATATAAAAAAAGACTAACGAATTTGAGCTACGCACAGCCCAACAAGAGCAACTGATTAGTATGGCCCTTGAATGATGTGGATGTTGATGAAAAACTGCTCAACGCATGGAAGCTACAAATTAATTTGGTACTAATAAAAACCTTTGGCATCAAAATTCACTGAATATCCTCAGCTCTGGAAAAAAAACTTTTGCGATTTTTATGTATGTAGTTTTAAAAATGAAGAGCAAGGCTTCCGGTTTGGGGATGCGTAATTATTACTTGCTTTAAGAGCGAGTTGCGAAATTCAAATTCAAATTACTTCTTTCCTCGCGAATATAATTGGCACTTAATAACCGGTGAAGGGTTTCGGCCGAGCTCCTCTTCCAATTTGTGATTTTGTGTCTTGATGTTTTTCCAACAAACGAAGAGAACCACAGTTTATACTAAGCCACCACCGAACTGTTGATGGTGTCTTATGAGGACCTTTTATTTCAGGTCAGAAATAAACTCAGAGGAATTGACATTCCCTGCCGAGGGGCGATCTCAAGTAGAAAATTTTATCTTTCGCGAATAGGAAGCATTTATATAAGACTAGAGTTTGAAAATTAAATTTATATTTAACCCACGAATAAAAAGGTTATCAAATCGTGTCCTGTATTTTTTTTTATATATATAAATGGTCCCATCGGTAGTTGGGAAAAAAATATTTTTTAGGGAGTAGTAGACAGTCCCATTTTATTCATTCTTTTTGTACTAAAAATGGTATTGAGGCAGTTAACAATGACACCATATATACCCTAAGTAGATCAGGTTGAATTGGTTACTAGAAGGGAAAGGGAATTTGTAGGTCGCAAGTTTACCACAATTACGACAATATAATCGGTCTCATTACTTAATTGTCACACTTCTTATATTTATATATGTATTTAAGTGAAGCTTTTTTTATTAATTTTTCATTCCATTTTAGCTCAATTCACCGCAGGACGGTCTCAATCGTAGTGATTCTGTTTTGGCCGATAGTAAGCAAGATCATGGCCACTCATCAACAGCGTTGGATGAAGAGGTATATATGTATAACAACAGGATATAATTAGTTAGAAATTCCTATATATGTACATAGACCTGAAAGGATATATTTGCTAAAAAATTGTTTTTAAAACTCAAAAAACTCTTCTTTTAACATTTTGTAGATTGATGATTTCATTGAGCAAAATATACAGATAAATTCCAATAAAGAAATCCGAAGAGAGTACCTGAATACGTGGACCTTAAAGTTTAAAGATCGCAGTCAAGAGCAGAAATTTTGTCAATTACGTGAGGATATGTTTAGGTGAGTAAGAAACAAACAAAATATTGCAGAAGATTGGACTGCTAAAAGTTCTAAGTGTTTATTAGACCCATTCTTAGTGAGTAGGACCAGGTGTAGACTAGTAAGCTTTCCTAAAAAAAGCTTTGATAATCCACCATTTTAGCCTTAAATTGAAGTTTTTCATGGTCAATAGTAAGAATTAGCCGATTTATGAAAAATATACACTATTCCGCTCAATAAATATTTGCCGTTCTGAAGGTGATGGCAATATGCCTCTCTGATAGAAACCCTTGTTCCTATTGGCAAAAGACTTCCCTTAAGGCCAATTTTACACCAACTAAATCATTCACCAGTGATAGGACCAAATGGCAATTACGCGGTGTGGAATCTCTCTCTGTCTCTCGGAGCTTCTGGCGAGTCAATAACGATATGTGTAGTCTGGCGTTGTCCTGTTGTAATCAGTTGGGCAAAGCTGGAAGCTACTGAGAGTTGTTAAGAGGCACAAATTAAGAGTGTGACTTGAGCAGCTTATAGTGGATGATTTCTTGACAATACCACCAAACACACAACAAACCCATGTTGTTTGCCATTCCTGGTTTAGAGCCCGTTTGTGCCGGCTTATGGCCATTCGGACACTATCATTTTCATTTGTATTTGCAGTAAGTGATCCACTTTTAATCACCAGTAAAAATTCGCGTCAGAAATGACTCGATTTTGTTACCATTCAACTGCATTCGTTAACTCTTTGATACCTCTGTAAGTTTATCACTAAATCAACGACAGTGTGTCTGTGGGAGTAATATTCAAAGGATTGTTTAAGAACAGTAGTTTCCAGCAATCATATAAGTGGCCTTGACTAACTCATGGTAAGTCGAGAGTACTCCCTCTTTAGTCAGTTCGTCGGCCATCTCATTGCCCCCAAAACCTTTATACGCTGGTAACCCATCAATGTGGATTTTCTTTTCCTCTACCAATCTATCGATTGCCTCTTTGCAAAAGAGCAACCACTTTCGACTTCGAACAGACATAGATTTGTATTCTTCATTTGTGAGGGCTAAATCCCATTCTCTGATCCCAATACAGAACTTCAGACCGTTTTTCTATTCCCCTACCCCTATTGTAGGCGTCAGAGGTTTGTTGAAGGTGAAGTGTGATAGATTGATCTATCTATTCGTTTTCTATGAGAGAACACTTGACTGCTGTGCCCTAACATGTAACTGATTTAAGCCTTGTAGCATCGCTATTAGGCTTGCGGGTGAATTATATAATCAAAATCACATGGAACATTGCAAATGGTGTTGTTTTAAATAGCCCGGTGATCCTGCATTGATACTCAGCTTTTTCAAACCTTTCCAGATACATTGTTTTGTCTGTAGCTTCCCACCTTCCCATCTCGCAGCAAAGATATATTGTGAAAGCGACAGTGGCAGGCTTCAAGTGCAACCCAATATCTTCTCATATGTGTTTAGGTCCAATAATATCTTCTTTATTCGCTCCTCTACATTGAGCCTTCGCGACAACTTGCTATCCAACACAATTCTGAGGTACTTAGTGCTAAATTTCGACTGTAAGGAAGTGCGTCCTAACTTCGGTTAGGTTTCAAACAGTTTTTGTATGTCCTCGTAAATAGAATTAGACCCTTTTTATCCTTTTTTTTACACTTAACGCACTGCCTGCCAGATTCGTCAGCAATTGTTGAAAATAAACGTACTCCAGTTCTATTCAATTCCGTCCATAAAAAGGCAATTAATCATCTGCCAATAGGGCAATCCATTCACCGTAACGTAACGTAACTTTATAAGCCTTAAGACCCAAGTCTTTATGCAAAACACGGTGTAAAGACTTTTATGAAATGCCTAGTTTCTAATAACGGCGAAGAATGGACAACCCAAGGGTTTCTTCAACACTTTGGATTATAACAACAATATTCGCAGTGGCTCGTGAGCGACGTGCACATGTTTTATTCCTCAAATTTCTAACTTGTCTCAGCAGCTTCACTTTTTCGACCAATTTTTGTAGCGGTCTTCTTCATTTTAATTTTAGCACGAGTCTCTGCCAGATTTTCATCATCGACCGGAAAAGCAGGCTATTAAAAATTTCCCCTCTTATCGGAAAACCCTTTACGAAAATCGTCTGCATAAGCCGTAAGAATGGCTGCCCTTTCCCTCCCGCCCCAGTCCCCTCTTCAACAATTCGTGCACTACGAGAATCCGAAAAGAGGTGACCCTTCCCCTCTTTGTAGCGTGCCCCTATGCACTTTTTAATAACAGTATATTAAAAGGAGTAAAATCTATCTCTTCTTTCCCGCCAGATCGAATATGCTTTGCATTTTTATCATATGGTTGTTCATTGTGATGTGCCAGGTCATTATCATACCGCGTTGCACGAAACTAATTATTTGCCTTGTTGTTGGAACAATCTGTTTAACATTTTCCTGTGTGCTCGTCATGGCTGAGGAGTTTTCAAGTGAGTATATGGAATCAATTAAATGAATATGTCAATCACAAATACATACATACATGCATACACACATACATACATAATTTGATGTTCTCCACACTCTGCCACAGATTTGCCACTTTACCTGAAACAGAACTCTGCCAAACTTGTGCATCAGCGACGACGTCGTACTTTCTTTATTTGCCTTGTTATTGTACTAATGTCAGTTCTGAGTGCCATTGGCTTGGGGCTTTGTCCCGACTCCACATATGCTTTTGACACTACAGAGGTCAACAACATTACAACGACAACTAATCACTTACTCGCTAATAGTACCAGAAGTATAAACAACAACAATAACAATGGTGTTAGTGCATTATTGGCAAATGGCAGCGAAAAGGAAATCAAGTTGAATGTTTACTTATCGGCAACAATACATCACAACATCACCATAAACACTGGGAATGGCACAATCGTCGATACATTCATCACGGACAACCTCACAGCAGCACCAGCTGGTGATCTTGTGCGTCAGAGCATTGTAAATGCGCTAAATCTGTCGCAAACACCGATAAATCTGCTGAACAACACAACGAGCAAAACCTTGGAGACATTTGAACAATCGCCACGCGCCATTTTATTGGCCGCCGCTGCTGCTGCTGCACCGCTCACCAGTGCGAATGGCAGTGAAAATGAATTGGAATTGATCGATTTAAATAGCATAGAATTTTTCAATAGTTTAAATACCTTGAATAGTACGGAGAATCTGCAAATGATTCAAAATGATTGCGCTCATCCGGAGTATATCATTTTCACCTGGGTGCTGTGCCTGGTCTCGTTGGCTACGGCGCTGAAGCTTTACTATCTCATCAAGACACTAATGGCCATGGCTATGGTTGGCTGCTATATGATTCTAATATTGACTTTTCCAACACTTTACTCATCGTCAGCGGCGAATTATCAGTATCAACGTATGGCTCTGCCACTGGATGTGCAGATGCTTATATTGTTGTGCTCATTTCTGGTTATGGTGGGCTATCATGCCCGTCTGGTGGAGGTGAGTACAGAGATTTTCAAAGATTATCTTTGAGTATAGCTATTCATTAATTTTACATCAGTATAGTCTGCCCGTATGTCCGCCTGTTTGTACGTAAACTGCACCCTCAGTTTTTTATATGTATTTCCACAAAACTTCGTACCAAGATGCACTGGTGCAAGCGATTATTTCTTGAAAATGGTCAGATCGGACAACTTAAGCATATGAGTTTCTAGATCTGTGGCTCTGGATCATAAATCCGTCAAAAAGGCATCTAAAAGCGTGCCGCGACGAGACGATACCAATCACTGTGTGTTTATTTTTTCTAAAAAAAAAAAAACACCCTTTATATCAGAAAACCATTCTAAGGGGTTGTTATTTCCTTGCGAGAACTACCTACAATTAGAAAAAATAATTTTAAGAATAATATCCTGTAGTTTTGTACGTTGGTCTCAACAAGAATCCAATCCATGATCCACTACTTGGTGCTAAGCACTCGACTAATGTGGATATATTCAGAGATATATTCCAAACAGAGAAAGAGAATATTTGAAAATTCGACAAAGCCCATTTCAGTCTTTTTCAGGTTTTTATTGCTGATTAAAACATATTTAAATAGAAAACTCGTTTAAATTTATTATTATGTCCCAGCCATTTTTAGTCCTTACTCTGCTCACTAGTCGCAACTCACATCCTTATTATGTAAGCTTTTTATATAATAATTCTATGGTCAATAGCAGTTAATAAAAATCACTTACTCAAATAATTTCTTAAGAAACTTCAAGGCCACCTAAACTCAGACAAAAACCGGTAAAACTCTCACAACCTCCCCTGGGAATCTGACAGCAAGCGAACGCACCTAAGCCATTGAGTAGTCTCATTGCCCTTTCTTCTGTATCCTCACTATGTGCTCTAGAACATAGCGAAAAATACAACGTCTCAATCGGCTGAATGACGGACACTCGCAAAAGTAGGGATCCTCAAAAATATTGCCCGAAATAAGTTTTTAGGGAATATAGTACTGCGCAATGCACTCCTTGGCTGGACAAAAATCTGAGTCGTTCTATTAACAGTCGAGGAAAGTATTCGATTTTAGTCCCCTCTTCCGACAGGAATGCCTTACCGCGGATAAACCCTCCAACTCAGAGAGGAGTTCAGCGTTTCGTCACCTTTGATGCAAGCTCTACTTTCAACGGATTTCACCCAAACCTTCTTTGGGGAGATTATATTTCAAGGATAGATGATTCGTCAATACTTCTCCAAGAATACTAAGTTCCCGTTTGCTTAATGTAAACGTAGCCTCACAATAATTTAGTGATATGCTCCAGAACCTTAGCGTATGTTCTTTTGGTAGCTGCAGTATTGCCCAAAATCTCTGCTTCGGAGAAAATAGCTGAGCTTACTTCGTAATTAAACCCATTGGTCTTCACAATAACCGTTGGCCCTCACTTTCGTCTATTATTTACTGCTAGTGATGGAGTAGGGGCTTACACACGGCAGAAGGTTTTCTCCTTCCAGTCACATTGGGAGTTTAGTCTAAGGTTTGCAATAACTGTCTATGTATGACGACATATCCTTCACAATTAGGAAACTGTACCGAATTGTCAATGATTTTTTGATGGCTTGGTATGAGCCATGGATCACAGTTCACTTGCAAATTGTTTAGCCTAATGTCGAGGATGACTTCTAGCGCCGTTGTAGAGGTAGTTCTCATTACGTATTACTACTCCGAAATCCAAGGTTCAAGTTCTGAACCGAACAACATCTTTTACTATCATTTAAGAGAGTAATAGCTTTCGAACTTCAACATAGTCGAGTGATGCAACATCTATTCCATCATCATCGACTAGGGTTGTGGGTTTGTCATCCCCGAATGTTTCACTTTCACTGCGTTTAAGCAGGGAGGAGAGGTGTAAACACTGAACGTCAGTCATCAGATCACCTTTCCCACTGCTGCAGAGAAATTATCCTCTCCTTAAACTTTCTGAGTTTATCTTTTCATAAACTTTTCTTGGACTTCTCCTGTTGACCGTCTTATCATGATTTTCATACTCATGCATTTCGACATTTTCCTTCTTTTGTCGATAATGTGCTACGCTTATCTCTTTTACTCTCGCATCTATCTCAACCCGCTCGTTTTGTGGCCAAGAGTAACTATCCGAGGTGGGCAGTCTCTTCGCATACATCTTTTCCTTTGCGCTTGTCGGAAATCTTGGTTTCATTTGGCTCTGTATGAAAGGAGGTTGATATTTTTCCACAGCTCTCTTATATCGAATGGCTGATGTATTCTCCCAGAGCAAGTCGAATAGAATATTTCAATGCCGAACCTTTCATGTGTTTGTTGGCACGCGATCTTTGCTACATAGAGGCGGAAGTGTATCTTGCCTGCAACAACATAATGGTCCGAGTCGATGTTAAGTCCCCAGGGACCCTAACAAAAGTCTATAGTCTATATAGTGCGAATTTGCTGACCACTAAAAACTGAAATTCAATCAAGAAGTCAGCAAAGATACACCATTGTGTTAATTCACCGAAGATAGCATGGCGAGAACATTCGCCCAACAGACTTTTTTTAAGTTCTCCGCTGAAAACAGTTGATTTATCAAGGCAAGATATCTCCTTGTGTAGTATGACAAACGATTTCTTGGACTATTTTGACATCTTTACATTTCCGATCCATGTGCTTAGTATATGCCTCAACTAGGCAAGTAAATTCTAGCTGATAGCAAATCAGGTAATATATGGGATCAATGCGGCGGTCCTAGCTTACGAGAATTAAGTTTTCAGCGTATCTCTATGATTATACAGAAGAAGCTTAAATTGCAAACAAATTTGTATTTAATGAATATTTTTACCTTTATTAAATTTAGTGAACTTCAGTGCTCACGAAAAATCATAGTGAAATAGAAAAAAAAAATGTTTGTCCTTTTTATATTACAGCAAATAATTAATGACGATTTTGTATTTTCTAATTCTACTTTCATTTCTCCAATGATTTTCTTTTATTTCTTCTGCGCACTCGAATATGCACTTCATCGGCACTCATTGAAAACAACAACAGGTCACTTCGCGTTTGGATTTCATTTGGAAGGAGCAAGCGGAACGTGAATTAATGAATATGAAATCGAATCGTGCACTTAACGACACTTTAATTAAGGTAAAAATAAATGTTTGCTCATTTTGCTTTGCCATTTTTCTCAAGCATCATTTGGCATGGAAATAATTTGGCAATTTTTTTTTTTTGCCTTTTTTCCAAGTAAATTAAGTCTAGCTACATATAGATTTGATTGCTTATTTATTGTACTTATTTTTTTCTTTTTTTCTAGAATATTTTGCCTCATCATGTTGCCGCCTATTATCTCTCCGATGAACACACAGATGAGTTGTATTCGAACAATCACTCACTTTGTGGTGTTATGTTTGCTTCAATACCAAACTTCCAGGACTTCTATTCGGAGGACATCGATAATGGCAAGGCGTGTATACGTATTTTGAATGAAATCATATGTGAGTGGAAATCTTTCCTTTTGCTTAGCAATTTAAACTTTTATTTTCATTTATTTAATGGTAGTTGCATGAGAATATAATAATGAAAAATGTTGTCTCCAAAACTTAATTAACAAAATAAAAGCTTAGGAAATCAAGAAAACTTCATATAAATACATTTTTACTTTTCCGTCAATTGAAAAAGATCATTTCCAAAGGCTACTGAAGATGCGAGAGATGCTAACTTCGAACTACGCGAACCAAGTCAGAGCGGGAAACATTTGAGGATCTGAGAAGCTAGTCAAAGTGAGGTACATTCGAATCGACGAATGGAGCACTTGACTTTCTTTAAAGAACTATAGGTGAAGTCGCACTTCTAGCTTCTGTTCCAAAGGAGCTAATTGACCTGTATTTAAAGTGTGCATCTCACACAATGTTAGCGTATAGGCTGAGAATGAAGTTCTTTAGAACTCCGATTGAATTCAATCTTTTTCCCACAAAATATGTAGCGCTGACACAGAGCAAAACAAGTTTCAGAGGCATGCCTTAAAGTCATACTTCCCTTCTCTGCGGTGTACAGCTGCCAGATTATTGCTTTCGCTGATGACGTTTTCCTCTTGGTTAAAGGAACACCCGAACTGTTCAGTTATAATTGAAGCAAAAATTTGTTTGGACGACATAAAAGTGAACACGTAGTTGGACCCAATCACGGCTTAGTGTTCGTTTTTAAGACCGTTGGTTCAAAGCTAAACAGATGCCGGATACAACGATTTGCTTTTTCCCAGTGGCATAAAGCTCCTCATAGACACCAATCCTTAGTGTATCCTTTACGGTGGAGCAAATTCACTCACATCGAAAATCCTTACAACTCTCCTGGGTTCATACTTCGAGAACTCTGTATTGGCCAGCCTAATATACAGGCTTCAGTTGCTTAGCAGCTTAGCTCTTTTCCAGCTTGCTTCATCAAATAAAGATCTGATAAAACTCGTTAGTCATTACCAGCGCATTTAGCTGCTGCGACGCTCCTGTCTTCACTTTCTCAAATGATTGAAGTATTGCGTGGATATTCAATAGACTCCATCTCTTCATCATCATTAGAGTGGTTGGATATACCTAAGTTTTTTGCCACAAACTCACGATCAACTACCACAATTGATACCAGGACATGTGCTCCCAATATTGTTCTTGGTTAGAGTTAGTAATGAATCGAAGGATCATCTTGCACTCTCTAAGCCACACCTTTCGATTTTAGTTGGAGCTCCGACTGACTGCAGTTCGATTGAAACTCCTACAGCCAGAATCTTATAGCAATACCTACCAGGAGGATGACGAGGGGCATTGATAAATGTTCTTTAGCCAAAACTGCCATTTTTTGACAGTTAAAATACCTTGGCTCTCACTCTTTAACAACTCTTATGAGTTATCGGTTACTGAAAAACGTCGTCTTACGTCATACTCGTAAGTGGTTTGTCGATTTGTAAGTTCCTCTTCTGCCGTTAGATATTGACAATAGTAGCATCCCGAAGGATATTCTTTGTGAACTTACTACTAAGTCAGCTATCTACAACCTAACCTAACCTCTGATTAAACCACCCTCAGCAGAGAACGAGTGTCTCATTCTACTTCTCATTTAAACTAGTAAAATCAAATCTCAGAATGACGCCAAAATAATTACTTCATTCTTACCAACTCTCAGGCGACTTCGACGAACTTTTGGAAGAACCTCGTTTCGCCTCCATTGAAAAAATCAAAACGGTTGGCGCAACATATATGGCAGCCTCTGGACTAAATTCAAAACACTTAAATGCACGCGGAGAAACGGCCGAAGATAGCGTTTGTGATCTGGTTGAGTTTGCATTTGCGATGAAGCAAAAGCTGGAAGAAATCAACAAGGAGGCTTTTAACAATTTTCAATTGCGTGTGGGCATCTGCAGTGGGCCGTTGGTGAGCGGCGTAATTGGTGCGCGCAAGCCGGTCTATGATATCTGGGGAAATACGGTGAACGTGGCCTCACGCATGGATTCTACCGGTGAGAATTGGCGTGTACAAGTGCCGACTAAAACTTCGGAACTGCTAAAGGCCAAGGGATATACCTGTGTGGTGAGTTCTGGACGATATATATATATATATTTTCTCTTTTCTTATTAATACTTATATTTAATGATTTTTCTTTTAATGTGTCTTTTTGGATGTGTGTTTATGGGTGTGTGCGTGCTCAGAAACGTGGCGAGATTAATGTGAAGGGCAAAGGCCTAATGGTCACGTACTTTGTACATCCGAAAGGCGTCAGTGAAAGTCAATTATCATCACCGGTACGACTGCCAGCGGGTGTGCCGTTAACGCAGACGCCCAACTTACAGCGGCAGACCTCGCATCATGGCTCCTTCAGTGCGGTCGTATATGGCATGTTGCAGGCATCGAAACGTAGCACAACCATAGCGGGCACACGTAAGTCAACAACAACAACAACAAAATAGATTCTATATATGTATCTGTGTAGATATGTGCATATGTAAATATTTCTGTGTATAAATACGAATGGTTCTATTTTTTTTGTTTATCGCTTACAATGGATTTGCAGCGACTGGCACTCCCTCACCGCAAATACGACGTGGTCGACGTGGTAGTACCTTCAGTTCGGTGCGTCTATCGCAAAAGTCTACCACCAACAATCCGGTGAGGCGGAATACAACACGAGTGCGTGGTCGCTCATATCGTCAGAAGAAGGTTGCACTTTTTTTCATATAAAATATTTAAATGAAATTTTACGGTGTCTTCCATTACGTATAACGATCGTTTCTTTTCCGTTGCCTTTTTTTGCAGAGCTCGTCCAACAACTCGATAGTCACACAGACCAGTAATTCATATATATCGTCCTTTAGGCGTATCGATCAGATTGAAACGACGCTGTCCAAGAGTCATAATGATGCTTTATAGCCAATGCGCAATTGGGTGTAAGCTGCACCTGCGCAAACAGCAGCCACTTTTTTCCTCATAATAAATACTTATTTAATTAACTTAATGACATATATATACATATATATATTTATTATTACTATTACTTTCAAAAAACAAGAAAAGTATATACTTATAACTAATTAAGAAGAAGAAAAAAATATATATATTTACATGGTAGTATAGAAAAGTAAAAAAAAAACTTAAGAATCACTCTCCTGTGACCCCCATAAATGTTAACTGATTTCAATTAAGCGAAAAGTGCATTTATTTTTGGAGCATTTTTTAAGTTAGTTAGACTCATAAATAGTTGAGATATATGTATGTAACTGAGTAATACGAGTTATTGTATGTATGTGTGTACTTAAGTGTCTACGATTCAATTACTTATGGCAAATGTGAAAGTAAACCGATTTAGCTTTATTTTAATTGTACGAATATATTGTGGAGGAATTGTGAAATAAATAATGTTTTTAAGTAGCTAAGTAATCAAATAACGACACAAAGTAAACATATTTGTATTTATATTTATATGTATTTGTGAATATTTAATTTAAAAAAAAATTTCATAAACCTAAACAAAACTCTTCGGTTTGGTATGCCTTTTCTAGTTATTTAAGTTTATTTTGGTTGACGTAAAAAAATCCTCAATGGGAAAATAACACACTAAATGAAATATCCCTGATCCAAAAAATTCCTAAATGAGAAAAAAACCCACTAAATAAAATATACCGGGCCGAAAAAATTCCTGAATGAGAAAATAACCCACTAAATAAAATATCCCTGATCTAAAAAATTCCTAAATGAGAAAATAACCCAATAAATAAAATATCCCTGATCTAAAAAAATCCTAAATGAGAAAAAACCCCACTAAATAAAATATACCGGGCCGAAAAAATTCCTGATAAGAAAATAACCCACTAAATAAAATATCCCTGATCTAAAAAATTCTTAAATAAGAAAATAACCCAATAAATAAAATATCCCTGATCTAAAAAATTCCTAAATGAGGAAATAACCCACTAAATAAAATATCCCGGATCTAAAAAATTCCTTAATGGGAAAATAGCACACTAAATAATATATTCCTGAATGAGAAAATAAGCCTCTAAACAAAATATCACGGATCTATAAAGTTCCTTAATGAGAACATAGCACTCTAAATGAAAATTTGGCATCAAATGGTTTATTGATTTTGGACCGAAATTTGGCACTTGCATACTTACATTTAAACAATCTTTTATCAGAACCCCCCATATCGGATCACTATTATAAATATATTTACGACCGATTTTTTTAGATTTGAGATTTCGGGTCAAAAATCCGCCAAAAGAGCATCTAAGAGAGTGAGCATTGATATTCTCCAATCAATAAATTCATATAAATATTGACCATGAAAATCTTCGAACTCAAATTTTTCATTTTTTTTATAAATTTGATAAGCTCATGAAAGGTATAAATACGATCGAACGAGCACTACCTTCTTGAAATAATTGTGTTTGCCACTCAGCAGGAAATATCAAAGCTTTCAAGTATATTTCGAACATGAAATAAAAGCTTCTCATAAACATCCATCTACCGTTCGGAGGATAACTGATTCCTGATCAAGCACACTTAGGCCTATTAGACCGTTGTGATACCTAAGTTGGTCCCGATAAATAGATTCCTCTCATCTTACCAAATATTCAAACCACTTGGTGTTTTTGATGATTCTAAAGAGATTAATACTGCTTAACGATGTAATCTATGCAAGGCAATCGAAGGAAAAATTTCCGAGAAAACGTAAACGGACCCGCATTGAGAGCTTGGTAATGACAGAGGTGGTGTTTCACTGGTTCCTACTTATTTGCGTCCCTACAGCTGCGGCAGAAGTCCTTTGGGGAACAGCATATCTTTCTGCCATTAGACCCTATAAGACAGTGGTCGGTTATTACGCCAGTAGTTATGCTTATGAAGGTCCGTCTTAAAAGGAGTAGAGATTTATTTCTGTTTATCTCAAGCAATGGTCAGACTTATCTTACTTGTATAACATATTACAAATGGTTTTGCTGCACCATCTGCTATTGGTCCTTCTGGTGATGCAGAGTTTACCGTTAGTTAGAACTGTTCTCTCTCTGGCCAGTCCGTCGGCTACACAGTCGATAGTTTCTTTAAGATCTTTCTGTATTTTATTACCACCCTTGAGGTTGTTTACATTGGGGAAACTTAATCAATGTCTGGCTATCAGAATATATTGTAATAGATTGGGTTAACGTATGAGAAAAGGTTAGTTCCGCTTAAAATACGCTGAAGGATCGAAAAGACCCGGTCTTTTTGGCTTAATAAAAGAGCTTGTTGCTACTTTCTCTAAGCTCAGAGTTTTCTTTATTCCAACATTTAGGTTTTCTTTATCCTAAATAACGGGCATGATGCCTCAAAAAGCAACGTTACAGGCTTCATCGTTTTTTGATGATGAGTCTGGCTAGAGAAACAGATTATATTATGTGCTAGAGTTTAGAAGGTTAGTACTAACTGAAAAGTCGGCAATGAAACCAGCGCCATCTATGTGTTAAGCCCAATATTCAAGTGTTAATCTTCCAAGTTCACGAAAGTGAAAGAATCAGATGTAAATTTTCGGAAACGAAGATTTCTTCTTTATTATAATCCAAAAAAAAAGTCTTTAAAATTTAGCTATGTTCCTACACCGAGAGCTTTAGATGCTCTCGGGTCTCGAGCTGTGCAAGCTGTTGGGAATTTATACGTATGTATGTCGCAGCGAAAGGTCATTTGATCGAATCATAAAATATGGAAATGAAAGAGGCAGTTCTCCTCTTGACTTTTATAGAATTTGAGTTGGAAATAAGGAAAACGGAAAGGCTTTAATATCTACTATCTTAAAAATTCGGTTACCATGTCACTATGAATGTACACATTTACATATGTCTATATATACAAATATGTTGAATTTAATGCAGTTAAATAGTTATAATCAAATTCATTCCATTAAAAAAAAAATTATGTAATTATAATATTTATGTGTATATATATGTACATATATATGCATAATTTTATCACTTTTATCTTACTTATTTATTGTTCGTCTAGTCGTTAGATTTAAATAAAAATAAAAATAATAAATAAAAAAGGTGTGGCATTTCATTGGATATCTTGGTAAATTTACATAATTGTGAATGGTTTGTTAAAATATTTGGATAATATTGAAAGGTCAATAAATACAGGGTTATCCATTTTGTGGATTCAAAAGTACCAGACTGTATTTTGACATCTGATAAATTTAGCTATCAAACCAAATATTTTTTGTTTTAATTAAAAGTAAGACATTTTTGAACATGGATCGCTAAACAACTGAACAATGAATTAAAATTTTCAAAAAACTACCAGAAAACGTTGTTTAAAACATGGCCACGTTTTTTGCTTTAAGAGGCACTAAAGAAATACAAAATTGTCCACCTACTCAAGCAATTGGTAAATAAAAAAAAAATTACAGTCTCGTCTCGTCTCGTCTCGTTTTGCTCGTTTCACCTCAAATGTCGCTACTCTAAGTGAAAGCGTAGTCGGAGACACGAATATCTCTATTTCTCGACGTTCTCAAGAGTTGGGACTCACACAACAACTGATGCCAGCTGACCATTCGCAAGGCCGTAAATTCATCGATTCATCGAGGCCATTATACCCAAATGGTGCTCTGTGGGGGGACCTTAATTCTATAAAAAGACAATTGTCACTGACAACTGTCACTGTTGATTCGGAACATTGTTCGACCTGGATATTACATGGCTTGAATAATATTAGGTCAAGTAAAAAGATCGCTCGGTTTTTTTATATTGATTTTTCAAAATGTGAGTACATATGTCCGATTTCAGTCAAATATGTGCCGTTTTGTTCGTGGACTTGTTGCCAGCAAGATACCAACTTTATCATACCCTCCCGTAGAAGGCTGCGTCCCTATTGGCAAAAAACTCAGAGAGCCAATTTTAACAGGCCTCTCTTGAGGCCAACTTCTCACCATTAAGCGCGTTCGCCATAGTGCCAGGTCCGGACTTTAAGGTGGGTGCACCCGAGCTTCTGGCTCGTTACCAAAGACGTGTGTGGCCTGACGATGCCTGATGGAACACAATTCGGCCTCTGTTGCTCAAAGAAGGCCTCTTCTGGATGAGTGCTGCCTTCAAGCGGTCCATTTGTTGGCAGTAGAGCGCCTAATTGAGCGTTTGGCCATAGGGAAGCAGCTCGTAGTAGATGATTCTTTGCCAATACGACAGTGAGCCATTAGCTTCCGCCGCTTTGTTGTTACTTAAACCGGTAATTGCTGTCCGGCATAGTCCAGGTATGGAACGTCTGTTTCATTGCCATCTATTGACAATCCTGCTTAACCTCGTAGGGATGTTTCACTTTCACTGCCATTCAGCAGTCTGGAGAAATGATTCCTCTGCAATTATCTCTTTGATTCCCAAATCAGTATGCTCTAGTCTTGAGACCTTCTCTAAGATACCGCATCTTTTCAAAAAATGATCGCTTCTAAACCTCTTGTTTCTCACGTATTTCGGTCTCTGCCTTTTTCTGTCCGGGAATCTGTATTTTTTACTCCTTGCAACATCGGCAACTCTCCCACACAGCGCTCGTTGCATACATCGTCAAAAACCAATTGTTTCTAAAGCCATGACACGTAGGAAGCTTAAAATGTCGTTCCAATAGTTCCCTTGCTCCGAGTTGCTGATGAGTACTCTCACTTCACTGTGTGAAGATATTGGTCCGAGTCGATGTTAAGTCCTCCGAACGGGCGCCATCACAACATAATAAATGCGAGATTTTATTTTTAAGGAGACAGCTATGACACATTTCGGGCTGTGGTGAAATCGGTCTTTTTCAACTCATTTTACTTGGCACTTTATAACCGCTGACGCGATTTTCCGCCGAGCTCCTCCTCCAATTTGTGGTATGCGTCTTGATGATTTGCCAACAAATGGATAGACCTACAGTTTATACTAAGTCGCCACCGAATGGCTGATGATTTTTTATGAGGAGCCTTTATTTCATGTCCCTAATACCCTCGGGGAGATTGACATTTCCTGCCGAGAGGCGAATACAATTAAAGAATTTAACTTAATTTTTTATTTA